TCATTGAGGAATTCCGCGAGCATATGCGCAAAGTTAAGTCAAACTCGGTAGAGCATAAGCATAAGAAACGCGTATTTGTATTCAAAGATTTATACTCATGTTTCCATGTGTTTCTATGGTTGGGCGATACCAAGAGAGCGTTAGAATGTCCCTACACCGGCCCTCACAAAATCGTAAATTGTGTGTCGGATCGAGTATTCGACATTGATGTTAACGGTACACAGCGCAGTGTATCGGTCAAAAATTTAAAATCAGTGTATGGCATACGCGATGACTTATGTAGTGCAACCCCAGAAGTAGGATAATCAACCAATTCGTTCAGCAATGAGCAACCAGCTTCAAAAAACGTATGCGCGTCCAAAGAAAAAAGTCACCTTCGCCATATAATTATAATAAATCCTCCCAACGACAAAATGTAATTAGCTTAAGACAAAGACACGCAATGATATGTTTTATATAATATGTTTTATATGATACGTTTTATATGTTTTATATAAAACGGTAGACTTAAATGCTGGCATTATAAATGTACCTGTCACTAAAGCAGTATTTTGTTAACCTAGTAAATAAGCATAGTGTTTAGATTCGTTGTCACTCGGGGGGGGGAGGGGGAGTATGTAGGGAACTACGTTCTCAATACCTCACTAGCGCAGAGAGTATAGAAAGCCTAGGGATTTTGCGTGTTGCCTACAAGCAGCGTCAGAGAAAAATAAGAAGTCAGATAGATTATGGTGCTCATCCTGTACGATCGTATTCATTCGAGCTCGAGTAATAAAATTCATCATTATTAGTTCAATCAAGAAAAGTGTCGATCATTATACCTCATATCACATCACACGACAAGCGTGGGCTTGTCTTGAGAATTGACTCATCAATCGAGTCACTTATTCCCACACGTCCAGTGTGCAGGAGCCACTAGCAGAAAAATTTTATGAAAAACTATACATAGATTGAGACAAGATCTTAGAAATTCTTAGTTTTTCATTGATATTTGTAGTGGAACATAAAGTGGCATTGTTTGTTCGAAGAACCAAGAAAGCCTTTCTTAAAACAACGACATTGTATGTTCCACTACGAATATCTACGAAAAACTAAGAATTTCTAAGGCAACAAGTAAACCTCACTCTACATCCTACAAATATCTAGGAAAAATTAAGAATTTCTAAAATCTTATCTCAATCTAGGTATGTAGTTTTTCTGTACTCTTTTTTTGTTAAATTTTTTTTCCGCCAGGAAACTTACCTTTAACTCACTATTTAATTATATTATTTTTTACTATTTTACCTAAATTTGTTTCATACGAATTGTTTCAATCAGCACGAAAAATTCAAGCTTAACTGAAATAAGCCTCTATTTCTTAACTGTTGTATGTTCACGACGCGGTCTAATATGATACTTTAATATTGTTAATTTATTATTCTTAGATACATTCGATTATAATAACCACGCACACAGACACTTGCTCAAAACTTGAATATTTATGTATAGCCGTTACACAATCTAATCGCTATTATCAAAAAAACTTTTTAAGATTAAAAAGTTGTAGATTTATTTTATAATCGGTAATATCCAATCTAACGCATTATTCTTAAAAAAATTTAATTCAATTAATGTTTATAAAGAACATCACAATATTCTATTTCGATTATTTATAACATGAATTTAAATTCATTCTGGATAATTTATAAATTGAATCGAACATCAAGGAAATATACAATCAATGATAATACCTTATTTATGGAGTATATTCTACATAATGTTTCTTAATACCTAATCGCAGAAGATGAGCTCACCGGAGATGCCGCTACCCAAAAGGAGAGAGAATAAAATCCAATCCACCTCAAGAAAAAAGAAACGATTTCCAAGAATTCCAATGTTTTCGTTTTTCCTTTCTTGCCAATCTTTATTTAGTAACTTTACTCGAACTGAATTATTAATTAAATTCGAGCAATATTACTAACAAAAGCTATTAGCCGTTTATGAATTTTTAAATATTATATGATGTTACTATGGTACGCCATCTTATAACATATTATTACATTCTGATGCGTGCGTGCGTGTCAACTACGTATTTAATATCCATACATTTAAATATACACAATATACCTGTTACATGTATTACATACGTATTATATACGTATTTCGACTTGAATATGCATAATATATCTGCTACATATTACATACGTATTAAGTACCTATTTCGACTTGAATATTTCATATCCATTGCGTTAATTACGCATTTAATATATATTTGCAATGAAAGGTGCTGTGCGGGCACTTATAGTACTACATGTGTACTATATTTAGCAATGCGTTGTTTAAGACATTTAGCAACGCAGCAAGAAGCAAGAAGCTCAAGCTCTACTTATTTCCACGATTTCTACATGAATAACTTTCTAACAGGCAGCTATGATTTAAAGCAAACAAGGAAAAGAATTATCAGAGTTGCTAAGAGCGGCAGGATTTCCTCTAAAAAGATGAGCAAATGATTCTAATATTCTATTACACTACTAGTGACACTACTTGTCAAATTTACTTATTGCATTAGGGACTCTTACAACTTCTGATTAAATTAATTTACGATCAACTCGCAGAAATGCCAACAAAATGTTTAATCAATTTAATCAGAATGTCTCCTCTTTCTCTTCTGCGTTTAAAATAAGCGCAAAAAAAAATTCAATACCAACTTCACGAAGCAGATCGGTATTTATAGTCGATTCTTGCATTTAAGATTGTCTTAAGATGTCGTAAATCAATCCGAGAATTGTATTAGCATCTTGACACATTATTTAAGATGGTTTTAAAATAAGAACATGAATACCCCCCTCCCCCTATGTTTCGCGTTTCAGCTGTAGCCTTTGAACCTTATGAACAGTCCTAAACGGAGAGGGCAGAGATTTAGAAAGAGACACTGCCCAAAGAAACACTCCACACACCATATTATCCCTTCCACCATTCTCATGAAGTTAATTCATGAAGGGAAAAGATATACGAAAAATAGGCATACCAAAAATTCAGGGAGCAAATATTTTTGATAAATAAAACATATATTAATTATAATTATAATTGTAATTAAGGGAAAAAATGATATGTTTAATGCAAGTACTAAAAAAATTTTATTTACTCGCAATATTTTATAAATATTTATAGAAAACTAATGGACTTCTCAACTTTTAATCTTTCTTTAATTACATAATTTGTATAAATAATCTATGTCTGATATATTTTTAAACGTAGAAACGCATATTTTTAAAACTATAAAATTTATTAAAATCAGAAAAAAATGTAATTTGTTGATATAACCATGTTACAAAAATTGCAAGTCACAATTGAAATAAATCTCAGAGTAACAGTTTCCATCGTAGGAAGATATATATAGTAAATTTCCTTAAAATAACTGATAATATTACAAGTATTTTTTATGTCCTTTTTCTGCAATTTATGCTTATATATTAGATTGTCTCATTATTGTAATTAAATAATTTATCAAAATTATAGAGGATACATATAAATAATTCATATTTGTTTTTTCTATAAATATACGAGGGGTATCCAGAAAATAAGTTCCGTTTGTATT